CCTCCTCTCTCTTGAATTCTCTCCCCCTCTCTCTCCCTCCCTTTCTCTTTCCCTCTCCCTCCCTCTCTCCTCCCTCCCGCTCTATTTTTCTCTTTCTCCCTCTCTTTTTCTCCCTCCTTCTCCCTCTCTCCCTCCCTCTTTCTCCTCCCTCCCCCTCTCCCTCTCTCTCTCTTCTTCCTCTCTCCCTTTCTCCTGCTCTCCCTCCTGCGCTCTCCTCCCTCCCTCTCTCTCTCTCTCTCCAAGACATGGACGAGTGTTCGAGCAGCCCCTGCCTCCACGGTGATTGTGTGAACACCCCTGGCTCCTATCACTGCAAGTGCCATGAAGGTTTCCAGAGCACTCCCACCAAACAAGCCTGCATTGGTAAGTCAAAGTGGGGTGACAGACACAGAGTCAAGATGACAGTTGAGAAGGTGTATATCAGAAAGAGGTGAGTCTCTCCTTGCATCGTGGTAACCATCTTCTTAGCATTGTTTGGATCTTCTCCTCCACATCTGGAACAGAGATAGGAGCTGCTGGGAATGTTCCAGGCATGGATCGTGGGATTGAGCTGGGGGGTGCAGGACTCCCCCCCCCATTTGAGGATTCTGAGTGGCGGGATAAGATTTCCTGCCCTCGGGGCTCGCTGGGCTCGCTGGCTAGGGAATTCTGGGAGTTGAAGTCCACAACAACTTCAAGTAGCCACGGTTGAGGTACACTATTCCTGGCAGTGGACTCACCCTGTGGACCCTCTTCTAGATATCGACGAATGCATCATGAACGGTGTGATGTGTCGGAACGGGCGCTGTGTGAACACTGATGGCAGCTTCCAATGCATCTGCAATGCCGGTTTTGAAATCACACCGGACGGCAAAAACTGTGCAGGTAAGGAAGGGCTGGAAGAATATTTATTTATTATTTATTTATTATTTAAATTTATATACCGCCCTATCTCCCTTACGGGACTCAGGGCGGTGAACAGGCGATACTAAAAACCACGATAAATATACGCAAGTTTCTGTTCTAAAATCAAATTAAATAACAGGCCTGCTCTAAAATACCCCATACAAAACCCCCACTGAAACATAATCAAACTACGCCAGGCCGGCCGCACGGAATAGATGGGCCTTCAGGGCTTGGCGAAAAAGGCGCAGGTCTGCAACTGTACGTAGGTCGGGGGGTAGGTCATTCCAGAGGGCAGGAGCTGCCACAGAGAAGGCTCTCCCCCTGGGGGTCGCCAGCCGGCATTGACTGGCCGACGGCACCCTAAGGAGGCCCTCTCTGTGGGAGCGGACTGGTCGAAGGGAGGTGTTTGGTAGGAGGCGGTCTTGCAAGTACCTAGGTCCATTGCCACGGAGCGCTTTAAAGGTTGTTACTAACACCTTGAAGCGCACCCGGAAGGCCACAGGCAGCCAGTGCAGCTGGTGCAGGAGAGGT